CTCCCCAGACGTGACAAACAGGCACCATGCTCTCCACAGACGTGACAAATAGGCACCATGCTCTCCACAGACATGACAAACAGGCACCATGCTCTCCACAGACATGACAAACAGGCACCATGCTCTCCCAAGACGTGACAAAGAGGCACCATGCTATCCTCAGACGTGACAAATAGGCACCATGCTCTCCACAGACGTGACAAACAGGCACCATGCTCTCCACAGACGTGACAAATAGGCACCATGCTCTCCACAGACGTGACAAATAGGCACAATGCTCTCCACAGTCGTGACAACAGGCACCATGCTCTCCAAAGACGTGAAAAATAGTCACCATGCTCTCCACAGACGTGACAAATAGTGTCCATGCTATCCTCAGACGTGACAAATAGGCACCATGCTCTCCACAGACGTGACAAACAGGCACCATGCTCTCCACAGACGTGACAAATAGGCACCATGCTCTCCACAGACGTGACAAATAGGCACAATGCTCTCCACAGTCGTGACAACAGGCACCATGCTCTCCAAAGACGTGAAAAATAGTCACCATGCTCTCCACAGACGTGACAAATAGTGTCCATGCTCTCCACAGGCGTGACAAACAGACACCATGCTCTTCACAGTTGTGTCAAACTGACACCATGCTCTCCACAGACGTGTCAAACAGACACCATGCTCTTCACAGTTGTGTCAAACAACCACAATGCTCTTCACAGACATGTCAAACAACCACCATGCTCATCACAGACGTGTCAAACAGACATCATGCTCTTCACAGACGCGTCAAACAGACACCGTGCTCTTCACAGACGCGTCAAACAGACACCATGCTCTTCACAGTTGTGTCAAACTGGCACCATGCTCTTCACAGACATGTCAAACTGGCACCATGCTCTACATAGACGTGTCAAACAGACACCATGCTCTTCACAGACATTTCAAACTGGCACCATGCTCTTCACAGACGTGTCAAACAGACACCATGCTCTTCACAGACATTTCAAACTGGCACCATGTTCTCCACAGACGTGTCAAACAGACACCATGCTCTTCACAGACATTTCAAACAGACACCATGCTCTTCACAGACATTTCAAACTGGCACCATGCTCTCCACAGAAGTTTCAAACTGGCACCATGTTCTCCACAGACGTGTCAAACAGACACCATGCTCTTCACAGACATTTCAAACTGGCACCATGCTCTTCACAGACGTGTCAAACTGGCACCATGCTCTTCACAGACATGTCAAACGGGCACCATGCTCTCCACAGACATGTCAAACTGGCACCATGCTCTTCACAGACGTGTCAAACTGGCACCATGCTCTCCACAGACATGTCAAACTGGCACCATGCTCCCCACAGACCATCTGAAGACGCATCATGCAAGCATCATAATCACATAACGTCATTCTTAGTTTAATACCAGCAATGTCTCTCACACACAAAAACTACGCCGAAACTTTACATAAATTTACATTTATTTTCACAAACTCATCTCTTTGACTCTACCTGTTACAATAAAACAAGTACTTAATTAATCTTCTTCATTCTATCACAGCAGTCATCCCAACTGTTCCCTGTCGCTTGAAGAGTTTGATAGGGACAACAGTGTCTATTGTAGCGGTCACATCTATATACGTGTACATACATCTATTCACAAGACACGTTTCACAGATACACATACTGACTGATTGCATCAGAATCACCAAAACCTGGTGAGATATGTGTGTTTATTACTTGCCCGTGAAGAGATCACCCGTTTAATAAACATACAGCTGTATTACACATTGTGTAATACCAAAACGCGTGCTTATGTACCCTCGGAAAACGTTTCACGAACAAATATTGAAAGCTCTCAGCATCCTTTGGCTTATTCAACGACATTGCGTGTGGAGTTGATAGATCACTGAGAGGAGCTTATGCACACTCGATGACCCCAGCCACAACTATTCACTCGTTTCATAAAATTGGTATTACACGGGAGCTCGTTTAGTATTATATAATTATGTTACGCCGCAATCAGCCATATACCAGCACTATGACGGTGGCCTGTAAATAATGCAGACTGGACCATACAGTCCAACGATTGATATTGTGATGGCACGCGTCCCTGATACTCACCACCAAATCCACAGAGTCGTCTCTAACCATGGATTGGCGGGGACCTAATCTAACCCGGAATCACCACGAGGTGATTAGAGATAAACAGAGGAGTTAAGGAAGGTATACACCCATGTGTCATGGTGGCTCACAATTAAGACAAACAAGAAATGGTAATTCGTGGGTATTGAATTACTACGTGTATCATACAGTGAACTACGTTTATAACGAACATGCTTATACAGAATTGACGGATATAACGAACTTATTTTTAGTCCCGGCCATTTGCTGTATAGATGCTGTATATATCTTATAACGAACTACGGTTACACCGAACTAAAATTAGTGGTCCCTTTGAGTTCGTTATAACCGTAGTTTACTGTAGTTTTGGTTTAGACCTTGAGTTTGCAGTGTTAATGCGATTGTTTTCAGCCTAGTAACCCCTATAACGTTTGTAATTATTGGGTCGAATTTGTAAGCTTTAAGTTTATACTTTCTTTTTGCCGGCAGGGGGCACGGGTAGCCCCGTCGTCTAAGGCGCCGCGATTCGCTGTGCAGAGTTGCGTCCCTTGGGCACGCCAGAAACCTATGATTGTGGGTTCGAATCCCGGTTCGCCCCGATTATGTTTCTAGGTTTGTCAGCACCATACCCGTGCTCGTGGGTTTCACCGAAGTGGTAAACGTCTGAGACCTGCATCAATTCGGGCTTTCCTCCCACATTAAGCTGACACGCCGCGATATAACTGGAATACTGTTAAAAGCGGAGTTAAACCCAACTCACTCACTCACTCACTCACCTTTTGCCGGCAGGTATAACTTCATTTTATACGAATCGTATATTAATTCAAAACTTTATTTAACAAGCTCATCTACGGAAATTGGTACAGACAGTATAAACACCAGGTACCCATTCCATGCTTAACAATACGACCACCGTCAGCAATGAGACCAGCTGTCCCCAACTGACATTTATTGGGACGAGGCTGAGTGGTTGGCATATATTGAATCTAACAGTGAATGGTCAGTTCATTATTTCATTACGATATCCGACCAACCGTATTGTATTACCTCGAACAGCACACGTCCTCTCACCAAATTGAATATGCACACTTGATTCGACAAATCTAAATTAGATTTTGTTGTTGAATGTTTGTTCTCTGTCAGCCGACGAGGATGCGTTCATAAAATCCTTCCAGAAAGCTGTCTCTTATTCCGGCCATCGCTTATAATATACTCCCAACCACAACGTTTGTCCTTTATAAGAGACAACCTCCGTGGTCAAGTGGTAGAGCGTCTGCTTGGAGAGCCGATACCCGACCGCGTCATACCAAGAGACGTTAAAAGATGGTACTTGTTGTTACCCCCCTGATCGGCTCGGAGTCAGTTTGCTGTGTCTGAGTCGGGTATTCATGTTAAACTGTGGCATGGTATCTCAGTGGGCCAGCACGAGAAAATAGGCATTAGTCCGGACTAGTACAAGCAGCCAAATACACATACGTGCATGCACGTCGCTATGTAAGTGCAGCAATCTTGAATGCGACTAGAAACCCCATTTCACCTCACCTCACCTCACCTCACCTCACCTCACCTCACCTTGATATTTGTCACATTCTGAGGTCACGGAAGACCCTTAGACATCAGATTGTTTGTTTGTTTGTGTGCTGTTTAACGCCGCACTCAGCAATATTACAGCTATATAACGGCGGTTTGTAAATAATCGAGTCTGGACCAGACAATCCAGTGATTGATATCATGAGCATCAATCGACGCAATTCGGATCGATGACATGCATCAACCAAGTCAGCGAGCCTCTTACGACAAGCAGTCGCCTTTTATGGCAAGCATGGGTCGCTGAAGAATTATTCTACCCCGGATCTTTACGGGTCTTTTAATTCGTCATAATAGTCAACTAAAGAATACCTTTTCTGTTCATGGTGGCACATGGTCCTGTGTACAGCACACATGTCACAATTCAGGAGAGCAGTTGACCAGGGCTTCGCGCCCTGCCCCACACTGAAGGACATGTGGTCTCTCCTTAGGCAAGTGGCGTTAAACGAAATATACCTCTGTTCATCCAGCAGTGAATGGGTACCCGGTAGGATGAAATGGTATTGACCGTTAAACCTTCTAGAGTCTCACAGGCAGCTTGTGTTGTATACTCCCTAGGAAGCTGGGAATACAAATCAAGTGCACACTGATCCATTGACTAGGGTAATGATTGAACATTAAGTGGATTTGGGTGTGGATTTGGCGCATAATGAATATACACATTACTATCTGTCATCATGGTATCCAAAGTATCCCTATCAAACGTAGGAGTCCGTGACTAAGTATTATACAAACAAAACTTCATATAACTGAGGTATATAGCCAGCTATTCGTTGCGATGTTGTTTCGTGGTTTCACGTTTTGAGTATATATAGTGGACGTTGAGTAAATCCCGTGGATACTCAGACGCTCAAGAAAACGACGCTCAAATGCTCGGGAAAACGACGACCAAGCTATCGGGAAAATGAAGCTCAAATGCCCGAGGAAACGACGCTCAAACGCTCCGTAAAACGACGACCAAGCACTCGGAAAACGACGCTCAACCACTCGGGAAAACGACGACCAACCGCTCGGGAAAACGACGACCAAGCACTCGGAAAACCGACCCCGATAACATCCCGATAACATGAAGGAAGTTATGCTGCCTTGTTTCCTACGCATCCTTTTGGACACATGGTAGTTTTAAATTGTGTTTCTTTGGTAGGCCTGTATATGCATGCATTGACAGGACATGTCGCTAGTTTCAGTCCATCTATGCATGTATGTGAAACAACATGAACACATGCTTTCAAAGCCTACTTGCAAACGTCTCCTTGTCCCACTATCCGAGTGTTGTTTCTTCAGGGTGACCGACCCCACTTCTCTTCGAAGCTGGGCCTCATCTGCTCCTGCCTGGGGTGCATGGTGGGGACAGGCAACATCTGGAGGTTCCCCCGGATAGTAGCCACCAACAGCAGAGATGAGGGTGAGTAGGCGATGTCATATCCGGTGTCAGATACGTCAGCATACATACGCAATATTATACCCCCAAAGCTACTTCCCAGCGCGTGACACCTTCGTTACACTCTCGGTAACATCGCTGCCACCAGTGTGGGCGCGGCCATTACAAGAATCTTGAAACTTGCCCTCTAACCCCAAACGTAGTAACGTTTATACTTTTGTTTATGTCTTTGGGGATGCCATTATATTTCATTTTGAAAAGGTTTACGACTGACCATGTTTTCCGGATGAATTTACTTTGTTGTTTGTATAATCAGATTGGTTCGAAATTGCAGAATAACGGAAAATCAACCAACTTCTCCCTTACATTCTTACAATATCAATTACATGATAGTTTTAATAAAATAGAAATTCAAATTGACAAAAAAAGAAAGTAATTTAGCAGCGGTAAGTGTATTCGACGTTACGGCAGTCGTCACTTGTGTGTAAACATAACGGTCATTCGATTGCGAGTTCAACTCCAAGCATGGTTAGGGCCACCTATCACAGTGGGGAGTTTTGACCGGTGGCAGCGATAGTATAGAGAGCTCCGCGAACGGGCTATCGCTGTGAGGAGCTTGCATACCTCCACGACGTCCATACACTGTTGTACCGAGGTTATTTCTGGACACGCAATTCTCTGTACAAAGTTGCGTCCCTGGGTAGAAATAGGATCATATTATCGTTTTCGAATTCCTCTATTAACGACAATTCGTTTGCCAGCTCCATGCCATAGCTCATCAAAATGGGGCGGTAGGGTAGCATTGTGGTTAAAGCGTTCGCTCGTCACGCCGAAGACCCGGGTTCGATTCCCCCACATGGTGTGAAACACATTTATGCTGTCCCCCGTCGTGGTATTGCTAGAATATTGCTCAACGCGGAGTAAAACCATACTCATTCACTCACTTAATCAAGTGATAAACGTCTAGATTTGCATCACTTCAGACATCCCCCTACATCAAACTGCATCGCTCACCCTATATATGAAGATGAGTGAGTGAGTGAGTAAATGTTGCTTTAAGCCGCATCTTTTTGAAGATGACTCCAATGTGTTCCCAAGTCATTGTTTTCTGTCACAAATGTGAAACATCACACATACATTATAACTCTCATATCTATGGTATAATGAATTTAATAAAATATTGTTTAATCACCCTAGTACCTACATTTAGTCTCAGTTAAATCCCATAAAGAATGATTTGGATCTACCGAGAAATGACAATGCTTGCCACCACCCACTGTGCCAAACTGTCTATGACCAACCGATGTGTGTCTTGTCTTCCAGGAGGTCTCGTCTTCCTCTTGGTGTGGTTCTTCTTCCTCGTTTTCTGGTCGATACCGATGCTTCTGATCGAATACGGCACGGGCCGGTACACCCAGAAGGCAGTGGTGGACTCGTTCCGTCAGTTCGTTGGGAACAAGGCGGCATGGTGTGGGGCGTGGATTACCATAGTTTCCTTCATGATCTCGTAAGACACCAACACTGACATTCCTTGGTATTTCCTGATGGAACAGCCCTTACGAAAACACTAACGTGTCGTAAAATGTCTTTTGAAGACACCCATGACATTCACAGATCTGAGACCAAAAAATATTGATCGCCCTAAAAACATTTCGTGCAAAACTGAAAGACGCGCACGGTTTTAGGAAACGTTTTTGTTCCAATTTATCGTGACCTAATGGTGTGTTAAATGTTCCTAACCAGTTGCATTTATTTTTAAAATAATACTTGCTTCACTTGTATCGACATGGCTTACATTATCGCGTATCCAAGGTATTATATCTTCTTTCTCTTATGATAGACACCCTGGACACATTTATATCACAGCGAATTTGAACCCGATTTAAATTACATGACGCTAAAAATCGCCGTCCAATCGTTTACAATCACGAGCTAGAGTTATACTTATATTAAGGGAATCACGTCTCTTCCGCAACAAACCTTTGATGGTGAATGGGTCTAAGGTATTTATCATGATAGAAAGTAGATATAATACCCTGGAACATCGAGGATGATATACTGATGTTCCAGATGCTACTACTCCGTGATTCTGGGATGGTGCTTCTACTACTTCATCTACTGCATCTTCCACGAACTGCCAACTGAGGAGGAGGAATCCAAAGCTATATTCTCCGACTTCGCGGAGGTAACCACATGTCCCGGACCGCCTCTTCCGCTTATAACTTTCTTCCTTCTTTCATCTGTTTGGGGAATTCGAGATATGGTTACGGCATTGGCTCAACACGGCAAATCATTGGTTGCATTATTAATATAATACGCATGAAGCCGATTTTTGTAGTCTCCCGATGTGATGTGGACAGGGTATTGCTAAAAGCGGCGTAAAGCCTCACACATTCACTGTCGCTCATGTATAATGTTTACAGCGAAAGAGAATGCACAATTGAACACATGACAAGTTTAACAGTACTACTCAAGATATAGAAGCTTCAAATATTAATCATATTACCACAACTAAAATCGATTAAGGAAATGATTTGCATTTAATTTAACATATAAGTTGTAATGATTGTTAAATGTGTGTGTATATTATTGCACAGAATTGTTTACGTTCGGAGTCAGTTACGTATATAACATGGCGTACCCGCAATGAAACCTTTGGATTCGATGTCTGTTTGACAGGCTACCTTGACCTCATAATGTACGTGCACAACGTGTCTTGTTCCTCGTGTTCATCATTCATCGTGTGATTGGTCTACGTTGTAGCTCGCAAGATCGGGAACCGTTCCGTAAATCCGTGGGAATTCATTGTTAAAATACGTCTGAATAAACCTAGTCGTGCCTTAAGAGACGTCTTAATTGATTGATCATGTTTCTAGGTTTATCAGTACCATACCCGTGCTCGTAAGTTTCACCAAAGTGGTAAACGTTTGAAACCTCCATCACTTCGGGCTTTCCTCCCACATTAAGCTTGCACTCAATGTAATAACTGGAATACTGTCTAAAGCAACATTAAACCAAGAAAGGTTTTGCATCCTCACGAAAAATGAGTTCATCTGACAAGTCATTGTTTCATCTGCCTTGGAAATATTTATGATCAAGACCCCTGAATGCATACTGAAAAATCCATCTTCATGTTTCTAGGTTTATCAGTACCATACACGTGCTCGTAAGTTTCACCAAAGTGGTAAACGTTTGAAACCTCCATCACTTCGGGCTTTCCTCCCACATTAAGCTTGCACTCAATGTAATAACTGGAATACTATCTAAAGCGACATTAAACCAACTCACTCATTCACTGACCCACCCACTCCCTACTGTACACAGAAAAGCGCTTGGCCGGTACTGACTCACGGGATCGCCATCGTCATAGCTGGCCTGTCCGTGGTGAAAGGGGTCAAGACTATAGAGAAGGTCAACATGTTTCTCGTCCCCGTGTTGTTGCTGATCCTGCTGTTCACGTTCGTGTGGTCATTGACACGGAAGTACGCGGATATCGGCATCAAGTATCTCTTCACGCCAAACTGGGGTATGACAATATATGTGAATAGACATGTTATCGGAAATGCTTTTCTTTGCGGGAAGACACCCTCCCCAATTATGGTATTTGTTATCGCTAGGGTTAGTTTTACGTCCCCAAAAGACAGGAAACCTGCGTGCCTCTGCCAAGTAATTATTTGTGCCTGACAAGAGGTTTTGCATCCTCACGAAAAATGAGTTCATCTGCCTTGGAAATATTTACGATCAAGACCCATGAATGCATACTTAAAAATCCATCTTCTGACCTACCAAAACAAAAGGTTTTTTTCCTCCTCAGTAACACAAACACGTGCGTGTTTTTTGGTATCTGTTTAACCGCTGAGAAGGATCGCAGTTAGAATAACTGGAAATAGGCCAGCATTCTAACAATAGGTCTTGCAGTCTTATAAACAGTTAAATGCATTTACAGTGACATTATTAATATGCTCCATACACTCCAGACTCTTTTGGCGACCCCCGTGTATGGGTGGACGCCCTCAGCCAGAACGCCTTCGACACCGGGGCTGGGTCGGGGCTCATGATCCCCTACTCCTCCTACATGACCAGGGAGAACGGCATCGTCCGATACGGCACCCTCATCCCCACCGCCAACAACCTCGTCAGGTACGGCCCTACGACACTGTTACAGTTCCTCTTACAACGCAGTCAGCAATATATATACCACCGTCTGCCATGTCATATGTCCAGGTGCAGGTGTACCAGCCGAATGTAATATGAGTGCTGGGTTTGGGTTTATACTGAATAATGTATTCTCGCTTTCTCGCGATATCGACCTTTGGAAACAAGCTTAATATGCCAAAGGTGCGAGAAAAAATCACGTGTTTGTGTCGGGAATTCGACATTTGTACATGATGAAATAATTCGCAATATCGCTATCTCGACTTCTGAAATCAGGCCACCTCAGCAAATCGAGAGTATGTATCATTCCATTTTATCGCGTTGTAGACGCTGTCAGTATCAGAAACACATTCAATGTTTTTTTCAAATCGAAGTTTAACCAAATTCGCTCACTCACTCACTCACTCACTCACTCACTCACTTTTATTCAGCCTGATATCCGGGATCACCGTGTTCTCCACCGTGTTCTCCGCCATCATCGTCACCAAGCCGTCCCTGACGCAGTCCAGGATAGTGGGCATCATCAAGGACAGTGGACCCGGAAGTACTGGGCTCACCTTTATCTGGTCAGTGAACAGCAATCATGACCGTCCAGTAGTTCGTCTCAATGTGTTTTAGTCGACGCATTGTCCTACTTTCGATTACCCCGTGTATCAGATCTCCTTTATATTAAGAGGCCCATTCGATCCCCAATAAAGTGGTCTTAGGTTGGTTGTAGATGGCTTACAGCCTTGTTTTAATTGATTAGTCTTGATATATGGAATAATTATGTCTTCTTATTTTGCCATGGTTTTTTTTTTCCAAATATGTGATAGTTACATTACTAGTTTACTGTCCCTTGTCGACGGATATTGTTATAATGATTAATTTGTCTCATCGGCTGAAATATTACCGATGCGACGTATAATTTTCACTCACTCACTCATTCACCCAGACCCATTCGCTGCCATAACTTCCGTTTGCGTAGTGACGTCATCATCTCCATCTGTCATAGTCTTGAGAGGGACTTGTTTTCGCACATGAGAGCAATTTCACTGGTCAACTAATTTTAGCTGTATGTCACTCTACTCATAAAGAAGCTCTGGAAACGAATGGGTGCAGGGTACTTGTCATAATAGATTTGAGATAAACTACAGTCTGCTTTTCATTCAGTTGTCTGAAAAGTCCATACCACAGCAATTTTATCAGATATAATAACATCTGATTCGTAATGATATATCACTGACTGTTTTTTGAAAATCGGATGATTGTTACTTATTTATTCACTGATGTGTATGTACTGAGTTGATGTCTTCTCATCCGGGTGTTTTGTGTATCTGCAGGATCCCAGTTCTGTTCTCCTCGGTGGGAATATTTGGCAGAGTACTGTCCGTCCTCTTTTTCCTGACTCTCTCCTTCGCCGGAGTTACATCGCTTATATCGAACATCGAGCTGTTCACACATACTCTGCAAGACTTTGGATGTAAGTTCCAGCATGGGCTTATATCCCGACATATCAGTTATATATCCCAACGTATCAGTTCTATATCCAGACATATGTTATACATATCAGTCATATATGTCCCGATATATCAGTTATATATGTCCCGACATATCGGTCATATATGTCCCGACATATCAGTTTTTATATCCCGACATATGAGTTATATATATCCCGACATTTGAGTTAAATATATCCCGACATATGAGTTATATATCCAGATATATGAGCTATATATATCCCGACATATTAGTTTTTATATCCCGACATATCAGTTATATATATATCCCCACATATCAGTTTTTATATCCCAACATATAAGTTAAACTATCCTGCCATTTGAGTTAAATATATCCCGACATATCAGTTATATATCCCGACATATGCTATACGACAGCGCCATACGACGTCGGCCTGTAAACAATCGAGTTTGGCCAGACATCAAGTAATAGTAGACCAGATAATCTAAGGACACGATAGCACTTCACTGATCCTGCTGAAACCAAAGCGACATGTCACATTTAAACCACGTCCTCAGCGCACAAGGGCTGAGACTCTGCCGCTTTTAAACACAGAGTAAGTGACTGAGTTGGGTTTAACTCCGCTTTTAACAATATTCCAGTTATATCGCGGCGTGTCGGCTTAATGTGGGAGGAAAGCCCGAAGTGATTCAGGTCTCGGACGTTTACCACTTCGGTGAAACCCACGAGCACGGGTATGGTGCTGACAAACCTAGAAACATAATTTGGGCGAACCGGGATTCGAACCCACAATCATAGGTTTCTGGCGTGCCCAAGGGACGCAACTCTGCACAGCGAATCGCGGCGCCTTAGACGACTGGGCCACCCGTGCCGCTTACAAACACAGAAAAACAACCAAGACATGTGCTCGTTTTGCACTGGAGGCAGTTTTAATGTGTCGACCTATGCTTTCCTTATGACACTACAGATGCTATTCTTGCTGTGTGTTTCTAGTAAAGAGGCGATACGGCACCCCGTTAACAGTCGCTTTGACGTTCCTCATTGGGCTCATGTCTGCGCTGAACTTGGACATTCTCACAAATCAGGTAACGCCGAGGATTTTCAAAACTTTCAAGGGCTTAACAACAATAAAAGCGACAACAACATTTCAATAATCATATGAAATTTCTACTGAAAGCGGAGTTGATTGTCCGATTCCGACTATATCATGAGCATGTGTTAATGAATCACTATCAAATAGTGATAATACCAGGCGTTCGCGAATACACTCGTAGGCCCAAGTGCCTCCCCGGGCTCAAATCACTCCCCTTCTTATTAACAAATATCCATATTTGATGTTCGTTAGGGCTGATATGTTTTGCTATAATAATAATTTCGAACTCTTTGTGTACAATATTTACAAATTGTTTTGACTATGTGTATGGAGAAGGATCTGTGACAATTAAAGCAGACATCTGGTTGCACAGGTGACCGTTGTGACGTATTAACTAACATTATGTTTCCCTCTCCAGGACTTTGTGTGGGGATTTGCTCTTGTCATCAACGGCCTGATGCTACAAGCGATGGTAATCATGTACGGCGTGAAGCGGTTCCGGACAGAGGTCGTCAACAACTTCGGCGTGGGGGACTGGAAACTGCCTTGTCTCTGGGACTGGATAGTCAAGTGAGCCGTAGATAGTAGATAGTTTCTATACTTATAGAAGTATAGGAAACTGCCTTGTCTCTGTGACTGGATAGTCAAGTGAGCCGTAGATAGTAGATAGTTTCTATACTTACAGCAGGGTAGGAAACTGCCTTGTCTCTGGGACAGGATAGTCAAGTGAGCCGTAGATAGTAAATAGTGTGAATAGTGTAGTAGATATGTTTGTGTACACTTACAATAGTAGGATACTTCCTTCTACCTTGTCTCTTGGACTGGATAGTCAAGTGAGCCGTAGATAGTAGATAGTTTCTATACTTATAGAAGTATAGGAAACTGCCTTGTCTCTTGGACTGGATAGTCAAGTGGGCCGAAGAAAGTAGATAATTATGAGAGCACAGCAGGATACTATTATTCGTATGTTCAGTCCACGGGAGCCGTGGGGACACAAGCATCGGAATTCGCTGTGCGCAGTAGCGTCCCTTAGATGTGCCAGAATCCTATTATCATGAGCTCGAATCCCAGATTCGCCCCCACTGTAGTTTTTCCAGCACTGTCCGTGCTCGTGGATATCACCAGGGTGGTAAACGTCCAAGACCTGTCCTCTACATATGTTTTAGTTGACCTTTGTTTGTATGGTCGCTTGTTTTTGAAGGTGTGGGGTAGCCTAGTGGTTAACGCGCTGGTTCATCACACTAAAAACCCTGGTTTCAATTCCCCCCACATAGGCAAATAGATTTTGGTATTCACCGCGGTGTTATTTGTTGTAATATTGTTAAAGGCCACGTAAAGTCACACTCACTGATTCTGTCTTCAGGGTTGTCGCCCCGCTAGAGGGCGTTGTGCTCATCGTGTGGTGGGCTATTGACCTCATCTCCAACTCAAGTGGAGATGGCGAGAAGTGGTATGAGTTCGGAAGAGAAACTTTCATTGTCACAGTGGTACAGGTAGGTTGTGGGAAACTGTGCGTGGGCGTTGTAGGGGATTTACGTGGGTGTTGTTGGTGACTGTGCGTGGGCGTTGTTGGAGATTGTACGTGGGCGTTGTTGTAGACTGTGCGTGGGTGTTGTTGGAGAGTGTACGTGGGCGTTGTTGGAGACTGTGCGTGAGTGTTGTTGGAGAGTGTACGTGGGCGTTGTTGGAGAGTGTACGTGGGCGTTGTTGGAGACTGTGCGTGAGTGTTGTTGGAGAGTGTACGTGGGCGTTGTTGGAGAGTGTACGTGGGCGTTGTTGGAGACTGTGCGTGAGTGTTGTTGGAGAGTGTACGTGGGCGTTGTTGGAGAGTGTACGTGGGCGTTGTTGGAGACTGTGCGTGAGTGTTGTTGGAGAGTGTACGTGGGCGTTGTTGGAGAGTGTACGTGGGCGTTGTTGGAGACTGTGCGTGAGTGTTGTTGGAGATTGTACGTGGGCGTTGTTGGAGAGTGTACGTGGGCGTTGTTGGAGACTGTGCGTGAGTGTTGTTGGAGAGTGTACGTGGGCGTTGTTGGAGAGTGTACGTGGGCGTTGTTGGAGACTGTGCGTGAGTGTTGTTGGTGACTGTGCGTGGGCGTTGTTTGAGATTGTACGTGGGCGTTGTTGGAGAGTGTACGTGGGCGTTGTTGGAGACTGTGCGTGAGTGTTGTTGGAGAGTGTACGTGGGCGTTGTTGGAGAGTGTACGTGGGCGTTGTTGGAGACTGTGCGTGAGTGTTGTTGGTGACTGTGCGTGGGCGTTGTTTGAGATTGTACGTGGGCGTTGTTGGAGATTGTGCGTGGGCGTTGTTGGTAAGTACACGTCAAAGTTGAGAGTGGCAACCATCTCCCGAGGCAAGGGAGTTAAGTGACTACAAAAGTCCAGTTTCCACCCTTGCCGAACTACCCTGGAATTTCGTGGCTCAATCGTAGCTATTACGAGTTACGTCCCTTCTGTCCCTCCTTTTGACCAATCAGATTCCACCTCTCATATCACTTGCATTGCTTCAAAATGGCAGCACCCAGTCAAGAAGATCTGATCGATAATCAAGATCTATATTGTAATAAAACGGGTTTTACCTCGCGAAGTGCATCAAATCATTTCAGCTCCTTGATTAAAAACATGGAAAGATTTGGAAAATATCTGTCCACGCCCTGTTAGCGGTATACATGCTTCGTAAATCCTGCAGTTGATCGAAATCTGCACGTTGAAATCCATATTATTTTCGAACCGGATGTCTACTTCGTTGCGCCATTCTGATTGGACTATGCATAGACTCGTTAGTCCAGCCAAAATGTAACTCCGGAATTCCAGCCCAAGTCGGCAAGGGTGGAAACTGTACTTTTACAGTCAGTTAACTCCCTTGCCCCGGGAAGATGAGTGGCAACACGTAGCCGTTGCTAGGGATCAATGTGCCAGTTGGTAGAGGTGACATTTGGGCATTACTAGATATGGTCGAGGCTTCATAATGTACGGATCGCCTTGAAATATTGTTATATGTGGGGTTAGTGAACACTCACTGTCTGAAAATGTTCAGTGTCCCACCATTGTTCAGAACAAGTGCCCTCAGCACAGTGTAGGATGGTCTGTCGACCACAGGTATACATGCCAGAAGACTTATCGGAATGTCATTTGGCGGCATTTGTACGATGTGTTTTTAACAGGATATGGGATGGTTTCAGAGAATTTTCACTTGTTTTAAGTTATCTACTCAAACAATTTTCACGGCTATTTTATCTTTTACACCTCCGCGCCAAATACTCATTTTACAATAAAGGTCTGCAGAGAAATCACTCATCGTCTTTACGGTTTTGCAAAAAAGTGTCATTAATAATAATTAATTTAAAATAGTTAAACCACATAAAAATGTCATCTACGAGAAAACATACTAAGTTATATATCATAGTTGTAACGCTCGTTGCGGCGCTAGTCTTACTCACTTGTTCCGTAAGTAGGGCGCGAAATGTACAATGGGAATTAATTCTGTATGATACAGATCTACCTATGACGACGATTTGTCAGTCCGTCTATGATAAGAGCCTGCATCGCGACATATAGAGATTACTAACTGAGTATGTTTCGGTATTAATATCATATATTAGGAATACCAAATTGCATTAAGCGAGCCTTTGCCTTTTGCCTTTCTATTCCTAATATGAGATGTTTATGATACGGAAACACACAAGTCTAATAATGTCTTTATCCTATAATGTCCTTCTTTAAATATTCGAGGTTCAATTCAGACCTAATGTCGCTCAAAGAAATAACTTTAGAAGCCGCGTAGGAATATTTTGTTTGAGTGAACCGCCCCATATATCATGTAGTGCAAAATACTTTGCAACCACACATGTCTACAGAATCACACACACCAGAAACCCGCATCAAAACCTATTGGGAACATTAGTCAATAATATATTGAACATGCAGAGATTTCAATTTAAACATAGTTCCTGCCAGGTGGCCTCATTTGCATATTTATCGGATTGGTTTGTAGCATCCATAACACTGTCCAATATATGATAAGTTCAGTTACGACAAGTCGTGAAAGGACCCCCGACATACGACAGTTCGAGCTGCGCAGTGAACATAAACTCATGCCCGCAGCCATTCTTAATGTGAAACGTAATGTTTCCACTTGCATTATTTTCAGTGGTTTGGCTTGATGATGTTGACAATCCTGTGCAATGTGGTGGCCATTGTATGTGTATCGAGATGGTCGAAGAGTTCGACCTACATGGTCTTCAAGGACACGAGTCATCTAGAACCACTCACGGCCTCAGCGCCGGAATATGGTTCAGTGAGCAAGAAGGACCTGCATTCCTCACAGACATACCAGGATATCAAGTTGTGATGAACGCTCTTCATAATCTCTTCATACTTAAAGTATATTCGTTCATGTCCATGTATGTTGTGGTAGAGTGACCAGGGCCCCATTCGCAAAGTGATCTTGGGCTGCGACTGTCGTAAGCTATGGTCGCTTTGCGGAACGGGGTCCAGTTTTGTGCAATCGACTCGAATGGGCAGTGCAATCCATCATTGTCTTCGTTATTTGAACTGAATTACGGTATAGTGTCCTTTCCGTGTTTGAGCATTTTAAAAATAATTTTGGATGGGCATTTCATCCCGACCAGATCACCCCAAGCTCCCTTGACGATAAAATCAAACATATTGCAAAGAATCAAACCTATTTCAGCTTGATTTATCTTCCCATGCTTTTAATGTAAGTAAGTAAGTATTTTGTAATCGAAGTTTCTTGGCAAAGAGGGGCTGTCGGGTAGCCTAGTGGTTAAAGCGTTCGCTCGTCACGCCGAAGACCCGGGTTCGATTCCCGACATGGGTACAATGTGTGAAGCCCATTTCTGGTGTCCCCCGCCGTGATATTGCTGTAATATTGCTAAAAGCGGCGTGAAACCAAACTCACTCAATCACTCACTTCTTGGCAAAGATAAACTGGTTGAAAAATGAAAACTTCAACTGTGTTTTAACACATATTGATTATCAATAAACATTTTTATTTTGCTGTTTTCAATCCTTTAGTCTTCATCTTCATCTGCATCCTGTATCCCGCAGTATGCACTATTTGATGTAAACGTCAGCCAATGTGTATCAGTACAATGACTGATGGTCGTCGTGCGCGACGGCGTGGGACGTTAGTCATGCTTCAACCATTGGTTGAGTAAGACTCTGTTACCTGGATATTAATCACTGGCAGAAACCGATATTCACCCACTGCGGTACTATATAGGTTCATCAGTCAGTTCATTTGAACAATTAATTTTCAAAACATCCCCAGCCTTTTGAATTATCTGTTTCTCGGCAAAGGCAACTATGCTTGTCGTAAGAGGCGACTAAGGGGATCGGGTGGTCAGGTTCGCTGACTTGGTTGATGCATGTCATTGTATCCCAATTGCATGGATAGATGCTCATGATGTCAATCACTGGATTGTCTGGTCTAGACTCGATTATTTACAGACCGCCGTCATATAGCTGGAATATTGCTGAGTGCGGCGTTAAACAACACAAAAAAACAAAAAAAAATCATGTCATGCTCATAGTATAAGATATATGCGTGAATCGGCGATCCCAGTTACTCCTGGTCATGTGTGCACTGGAAGAGCTATGTAAGACCCGTCAATATCTTCTTTATATACTAAACGTCACAAGAAATAATCTACCACTGGAATTAAAGCGGCGACTTAACCAACAGAACATTCGCGAATCATAGTAAAATGTTCTTGGATTTGATTACATCTTCATTGTCTGGAAGAAAGAGTCATACAGTGAAACACCGTTCCTCCGAACGCTGCAATTACGCTGCTAATATACTACTGGTACTGGGTGCTTTGCGAGTACCTGGGTCATGGTTTGTTAGTGATTCATAAACACATGCTTATAATATATTCGGAATCGTACATCGGATGCTTATGATTTTGGAGAAGACATTGTCGTTTGTATTCACTTAGAAGTATCAAACAAGATTGTCCTCTAAGCGAGGGTTGAGACGCGGACTAGCGGTCCGAACATGATGTCTGCTGTATAGAAACAGGTAAGAAAAACAAGTTGAAAAACGAAAACACAAGGTTTGTTTTAAACTGTTGTTTGCATATGTATATATTAAAAACAATATATTTTTCGAAGCTGTTTTCAATCCTTTACTATCCGCAGTATGCATAACTTGATGTAAACGTCAATCAATGTGTATCGGATGGTCACAATGATGGTCGACGGCGTGGTATGTTGCTCATGCATTAAACCATTGCTTGACCCAGACTCTGTTACCTGGATACTGGGACTGGCGTAAAACAATACTCACCGGCTGCTAATGTGTATCGGGTATCACAATAAATGACCTGACTGATGGTCTGACGTGCGCACAACGCCATGGGATAATTAGGAGTAATAGAAGTCATTTTTTTTTTAAAATCTAAAAAACCCACTTTTTAGTAAGAACCATTTAGAGAATTTATTACAAAGAATACTGATTTACATCAGTACAGAACCTATCACAACAGACATGTGAACACTAGTTGGTATGCATATTTTATCATGGGCTGGTAGGGTGTATCTGAGTTTAAATAACACTTTATCCGGTAACATATTCTGCAAGAGCATCGTTGATTTGGTCTGCGATATTGATTACTTCCGGTAGTTACATGTGTGTCACGTTCCGGTTAACCAATATCAACAAACACGTGACTCAGAGACAAATACTCTACTGTCTTTGCTTTCCTCGTCATTGGCATCAGGAACATTGATGTTATGGCTAAGGCTAATTCTTCATCTGCCTCAAGAGCCTACATAGTTTCATTGACACACTGTGAAACATTTTCGTGATCTTTCTAAACCTTATCGCACATATATACGCGATGTTACAGTGTGTGGATGTGCCGTCCTAACGAACAACACTGGTTACGCTGGTTTCCGTGAACCATGGTGTGGCTATGCTAGATTCGAACTAAGTTAAATCAAGCGACAATGGTGACGCAACGTGCTGCAAAGGCAACACGTTAGGGAAACCACCTGTAACTTATCTTTTGTTTTGTTTGTTTGTTGTTTAACCCCGCACTCAGCAGTATTCCAGCTATACGACGGCGGTCTGTAAATAATCGAGTCTTACTTGACAATCCAGTGATTGACATCATGAGCATGAACCCTCTTATGCAAAAGTGAGACAAGTGTATGCTATTGTTTTCCGGTCATGAGTGAGTAAGTGAGTGAATATTGGTCTGCGACACAGTCATGAATATGCCAGCTCTATCAAGGCGGCCTTACAAGTTTGGGCAAAGCAGGCAATTGGTTGACAGCATGAGCAACATTCACCCTTGGGGTATGATGACATACAATCGGCCAGATTACACCCTGTATCCCCAATCTCTATAATTGGGGGTAAGTATAGGGGAGGTTTTCAGCCTCGAATCCCAACGGATTTTCCCTACCATGAGAATATGTTTGAGTGAGTGAATGTGGTTTAACGCCGCATGTCACAATATTCCCACAATATCACGGCGGAAGGAAACTGGAAATAGACGTCATACACTGTACACACGTGGGGAATCAAAACCCCGGCCAGTGATGTGGGGAGTTTAGATAAGGGCCTTGAATCGACTACACTTTCTCTTGTACCTTCATATGGTACCAGGGGCGGTCGGGTAGCCTAGTGGTTAAAGCGTTCGCCCGTCACGCCGAAGACCTGGGTTCGATTCCCGACATGGGTACAATGTGTGAAGCCCATTTCTGGTGTCCCCCGCCGTGATATTGCTGTAATATTGCTAAAAGCGGCGTAAAACCATACTCACTCACTCACTCATTTGGTACCCTTAACCGTGTGAGTGAGTGAGTATGGTTTTACGCCGCTTTTAGCAATATTCCAGCAATACCACGGCGGGGGACACCAGAAATGGGCTTCACACATTGTACCCATTTCGGGAATCAAACCCGGATCTTCGGCGTGACGAGCGAACGCTTTAACCACTAGGCTACCCGACCGCCCCTCATCCGTGTGAACATAAAGTGCATATTACATAGGTGATATATGGAACCTGTTTGAGGGAACGTTTACATGGACACGGTCACGTGACACCAGGCTCATATCTTGCACGTGCAATAAGTGCACCTAGGAATAAAGTTGTTCAGCTGCTGCAACAGACTGTCAAGAAGTCGCCACAATCAGTAGACTGCCAAGAGAAGGCATGTTTCCCGGAAATGGCGTCCCAAACCCTGGCATTCTTTCCCCACCCAGATTGCCAGTCACCCAACCCGAGGCTCGTGAACATACCCATTTACATACACGGATAGACCCACGATACCTTTCTGTAACAGTTGTCTCCCTTTTGGATATATGACATGAAGCCACCTGTAGACTGCTCCCACTGATGTACTTCAGGTTACCTCCTGAGTCACTGACGGGAAAAGTTTGTCCCGAGGCAGAGATGACTTCTCTGATCGAACAGAGATGCGCACACGAAATATGCCGACTGTGCCCGAGGGCTGCCGAGTGTCTTTGGTTTAATAGAAGCATAAAACTGGTGAAAGTCATTATACGACAAGTTGGTTTGTAGAAGCGGTTCTTGAGAGACACAGACATGAATCTTCAGGGATGTACATGGTCGTCGTGGTTGTGGGTGATGTTGGTAACGTTGGTGATGATGACACGGGCACAAGCAGCGCTGCCTGATTTCATGTTTGGATGGAGTGCAATGGAGACGCGAACACAGGTAACTCAACTTTCGGAGATCGCTTTTTCGCATACTTTTTTCACAGTTCTTGTAAGGACGTTGACGGACAATAGCATTTGTATAACTGATATTTATGAGAATCAACCTTCGTCAAGTTTCTTGTTCTTTCTATAATCAATAGCGACTACGCTTGACAATTGAATTATCACTATTCACTGGCGTGATTCGGATGGTGCGTTATGATTTATTGTCGGATTGGAACACATATATTAAATAGTTTTACTTTATAACTAAAAATTCATACATCACTCTTTCGTTTTGGAGTGTGAAAAGGATTTGTAAAGCTTCGACATAATATAAAAACAAACAATACAACAAGTAAGGAATATCGTTTCAATAGTGTTTGGTCACTGCCCTTGGTGTAGCAGAGCGTGGATTCTACGGCCGAATGTTTACAAAAAGGGAAAAATACAATATACAGGACAACAACCAGGTTTACATGTAAGTTGTAACGACATAACGGGAACCATTTTCAACTCTTAAAATTACCCCCTTTAAGATATTGAAAACATTTATTATTTATAAGACCCCTAAATATGTATGTTCTAAAGTCAGCACAATTGTCATGGGCGTAATTAATTCATGTTTGTAGTTAACGGAATAATTAGAGACATGTGCAAGGTGATACTTCGTGGTACGTCATTTATTTAGAAGAGGTTGTTGATCATTGCTGTTTTACCACGAGCTGGTACTGAAATTATTAAAGCAGTTGTGTTGATCTGTGTCTTGTTCAGTTGGATCCTACGGGGGAGTAATTAACGCTTAGTCATTAGTTCCAGTGCCCTCCATATCGTTCATCAACAGTGCCATCATTTCATTAAGTTATTTTTCTCTAACGGTAGTCTTATCTGGTTACCAAATGACATAAAACAGTGCATGACATGTTTGTTACACTGACACATTTGGCTGGATTATTCTTTCAAACTAATGAACAATATACAGTCAAGTCTCGTTAATCCGACATCGTAGGTTGCACATGATTGTGTCGGATTAACGAGTATGTCGGATTAACGAAATGAAGTGATTTGTGATCGAAAATCGGACGTCTTCACGATAGATAATAACCGTGTGTACCTTGTAATAAAACCTTAAAAACGAAATATTTATATATTGTTATGTTGTTTATTCATTCATTCCTTAATTTATAATTAGTGACATTGCAATAATAATAATAATTTTCCCATTTATACATAACAATAGAGACATTACTCACTGAATTTATCACATCAGCGACACACGTTTCCTCGTGTAAATGCAAGTGCTATATCAATGTCAAGGATTCATTTCAATGAATGTGTCATTAGGAATCACTAAACAAAGTAAACTGCCGTACAAAAATATGTATACACTTGTATATTGTATTTGACCAACAATAGCAAACGTTATCAAAACGTTATTGGGATGAAATCAGTCGCGGAAACACTGCAACCTAAAGGTCCAAAACCCAACGATGATACCCGTCTCAAACACATCACCATCGAATAACCATTGTTTCATTTTAGCCACCATCAAACATGGATGTAAACTTTCTTTTCCCCGCAGTTTATGTAATTATGTTCTTTGAACTATACGTTGTTGCTCCATTAACGCACCCACCGACAATGCTGTTTGTTAACATCAATTTCTGTGTATATTGCTTCTCTCTTTAACTGTCTATTTTGGGTATATATATGCAGAAATACTACCTCCAGCAAAGAGCTATAGAGTGAACGAACGGGCATTTGCTCTCTCCCTTGTACCAAACCAGATATTCCAGAACAAAAGCCAGTCATCTCTATGCTGGCGGGAGTAGTATGTGTACATGACTAGTCTCCGGCTTGTTGACATTAGACATTGTATGTCAAAAACGCCAATAAACGCTATGCAGTAAGTATTGGACAAAACAACCTTCGTTGTATTCTTTAACTTAAACATTTAAATGTTTGACATTTGGTTAATATTATCATTGGGTCATATAATAACTGCCTAAAATTACCTTGAAGTCCATGAGCAAAGGTTTACCTATTGATCTTATCATGCAATTACACTTCACCTGCTTTGAGTGAAGCAAAGTTCAATGTCATTGTTCATTCATCATATATATAAAATGTGAATGCCAGAAAATAACCAGCCTCGATTATCCATGTCCATGTGGATCGGTGAAACTCAGTGATGGCACCAGGTGTTCGTGGTACCACCCGCCACTCACACAAGTCCGAGTTCAATTAAATCTTTCTGTCGGAAGTCTGTCTTTAGTAAGGCCATGTTAGGTTGCAAAATCAATGCTATCACTGTCTTCTAGTTGACATAATCGATCCAAGGACAGTTCAATATTAGTGAATGATTTGGCGTGTTGCGGGTGAAGAGGGTTTGTGTGTTTTAGGGGCTCATAAATATGTACACTCGAGATTAACAAGAAGTTGAAATAGGCTGATTCTTTCAACAAGCATTATTCGTAAGTGATGAAGACGAAAATAAAATGTACATCCTGCGTTAAGATTGTAATGCAGCAATTGTTTTTGTTCGGTTGTATTTTATTCATATAATTGAAGCTGTAATTGTGTGAAAGCATGCAGCGAGGGAAACCAAGTCGGTGACATTGACGGCATGAAGCTGAACATGAGAAGGTCCCGTCACTGACTTTCATGCTCGTTGCAATTGATTGTAGATTTTAGAGCAGCTGGAGATCACTTTATTGAATTTTTGTATTGTACGTTAATCATAACATTATCAAGTTTCATATACCAATTTTATTTAATAATGACATAATCAAGTTTCATATACCAACTTTATTTAATAATGACATTATCAAGTTTCATGTACCAATTTTATTTCCTTTCGGAAAGTTTCATTCGCAAATAACAATGATCACAGGCATAATTGTTATTCGGATCCTTGCTTATGTCGGGGAGATACTTTCAAATGGAAAGTACATTTTGTCTCATCCAAGATCGGAACAAAAATTTGTTCCAGAAATAGCTCGAAAGAAATATAATGCTTCAGACAGTTGAAAAACAGAAATTGTCATACACAAAATGTTCTTTGTAGCAAGATGTCCTTTTTTTAAAAACAATATGTCGACTCACAGTTTTTATTACATCCAATATCTGTTGTTGTTTTCAGCTGTTTCTGAACACATATCAAGTCTCCATTGAAAATGGCGCGTGTGTGTGTGTGTGTGTGTGTGTGTGTGTGTGTGTGTGTGTGTGTGTCTGTCTGTCTGTCTGTCTGTCTGTCTGTGTGTGTGTGTGTGTCTGTGTCTGTGTGTGTTCGTGTATGTGGACACATTTGATCGTAGAAAATGTCTGTTTTGTACTAGTCAGGACGAATGTTAGGTGACAGCCCTTCTGATATACCATGCCACAATTTAACATGAATACCCCACCCAGACACAGTAGACTCTTAGCCGACCGGTCCTTGTCTTTTCATCTTAATGACAGGCATAGAAACAACAAGTACCATCTTTTGAACTCTGGTGATATACGCGGCCGGAGATCAAACCATCGACCGTCCACTCTTCGTGCAGACGCTCGGCCCATTATGACCACAAAGGCGGTCCAGTGTTGAAGGAAATTGTAAAGCGGGGAACAAAGAAGTCTTTTAACTCCAGCAGTACTCGGGGATCGTTGGTGACAATAAACACTACCAAACCTACACAAAGTATACGAAATAAGACTGAACAGAAAACAAGAACAAAATTATGCTGCTAACCTTATCTGGTCTTTGAGCGCATAGACATATATGATCGAAAAGTGGGAAAAGACACGTCCTCCTTGCTGTCGCTATATGGTTGTTATACTTTCGTAACTTTTGTTTATTATTGATATTATTATATTACACATTTATATTCCGCACTTATCCAGGTACTAGTATCTGTTTATACAGTTAATACAGTTTATTTGTTCCCCAACCAGTGGATTCGTGAAAATCCATGATCCTCCCAACTGAATCATTTAACACCCCGATAGTTCTTTGGTTTTCACAAAAACAAGTCCCGCTCACTAAGCATCAGTTAATGACTTAATATCATGCAGTTTGCAACTGCATTCGGGTTTTAAGGTATCAGCAAAACAAAAAATTGGAAGTATGATATCATGACTACTGTATTGCAGTTATTGGAATTGGGTCTCAGCCTATATTTATCTCATTTTTACCAATGGCGTTTTATGACTTCTCATCAGAAAGTCGGATAAAACATTCAGGCCAGGGTCGTGTAAAATTTAATTTGCTTGCTGGTGTGAAGACAATCGGTTTCAGAGCACAGAAAATCCCATCATTTTATCTTTTTACGGTAATCCCACTAAGCTGTCTCTTTCGACATCAAAGAACAACATATTATTGATATCAATAACCACAAAATTGTGCATTTTGCTCAAGTTAAATACTCAGCAATATATTAAAAATAGGTCAGTAAACTTTGGCATTAATAGGATTCCCTTCCTACGTATGTCAGGTTGTGCAGAATTAATTGACATCTGAGTTTCACTTCTTCTTGAATGTGATCTGGCTGTGAGGAGAAAACTCGATTTTTTGAAGGTTTTATAAGGCTTCTTGAAACTTTCTGATTTGGCAATAATAGATGATTCAGTTAGTTAAACTTTGAACGTTGAGCTGTAGCTTGTATTGATCACAGCTTAATGATAGATATTCCAAAGTACGCAGATTGTAGAAGATTATAACTTTGGTGAATCTCAGGAGACAGATAGGGTACAGATAGACCAGAGGCCATAGTTGGATGGAATCAAGGATTCGAACCCAGGAATATCAGCTCCTGGCACGACCAGAAGGACACACTTTGCACCTATGGGCCGCCTGTGATCAAGGATAAGTATTTAGCCTCGTGCTGACGTGTGCGATAATTTTTCTCACCACTAATTGCAAATGTTATTTGTATGAAGGTTGCAGTGAATTAGAATATATCTGAGAATGGTTTTAAGACTTACTTAATCAACAATACTGTTTATAATTCTGCAGAAATACAAAAAGAAACGTCCTTTGAA